CTTCAAAAATTCTGAGAGCTAAAGTAAAAAAAATGATAGAAAATCAGTTTTTTTTTTAAATTTCTTGGATGTACTGGGTAACGTGTCAGATGAACAAATGATCTCTCTCTTCAAATCCTTCGAAATTTTTGGAAGCCCATCATATATTGTAAATATGCACTAATGTTGAAACACACATATGTATATATGATGGAATTGGAGAACGACCGTCCAGATAAAATCTCAAATATCTGCCATAGGCTTGCCTGTCATTCTCAGGATTCGCACGAGACACTGGTTTTCTCGTAGTGGGTATATGAGCAAGAGTGGAGGTTGGAAGAGGAGCTAATTTACTCGTTGAATCCTTCTCTTCCGTCGGGAATCAGTTTGATTCAGTGAGGGCGGCCGCCTGAAAGATCTGGATAAGTAGTCAGTGTCTCAGGAGAGACAAGTTCAGGCTTACTGCTAGGTCCGTACGGGACTGAAAGCGTGTGACTCCATCCACATTAGCATCAGAATGTGTCGAATTCTTGGGTATGTGTTACAAATTTTCTTTCTTCAATGCAGCTTAATAGCGATGACTTCGGTTTTCATTTTCAAAGCAGTCACATTTTATTCATGTACCTAATCGATTTTTTCATTCTAACTGATATACAGATTGTTATTTTAGACATTGTTTTATATTTTCTATGATAACATACATTCCTGTGTGTTCCGAGCTGGCCGACAGTCTACCAGAGCGGAAAGCAACTACCGCTCGACCCACGAAGAATCACCTGTAGTTTATACTGCAACTATTCTGATCGCACCTTAATTGCTGTTTCTCGTAAAACATAGCGTGATCAGTTTCTTGAATATGGCCAGCACACTCAAAACCCCCAGTTACAATGACTATCGACGGCTTTCGAACCGTCTAGACAATTTTAAGCAAAATGCTTGGTTTAAATCGTGTTCTCAGGCACATTCCAATGGTGTCACACGCTGGGATCGCAGCTCTACGCTAATATAATCAACGTCAACTACTTGACAAATTGACAATAGTCAGATTCCATATATATATATATATATATATATATATATATATATATATATATATATATATATATATATATATACATACAGAGTTCGGAATTCCAGTCGAACCTATTACATTCACTTAGGTGCTAATATCCTTAGGAAAGGTATTAATTTCTCGTCTCCTCTAGCTATGGAGAAATAGCGAGACAAACTGGGTGCTGGATGGCAACTGGTCTAGGAGATGGAAACTCTGAATTCAAAACCTCCGGAGGGTCATTTTGGACATCGTGGCACGTAGTGCACCAGGTTGTTATACTGGGCCCTTCAAAAAGTGTGGTTGCTTTTGCACAAAGCCTTCACCACTATAATCAAATCATATATGCTGGTGTCTGGGTGTCGTTTACTAGAAACTGAGCTGTTTGACCCTCATACGTCGAATACGACGGAAAAGTCCACCATATATGTGTGTGTGCGCTCGAAAGTTTGAAGCAACCCTCATAATTAGCATGGGATAAACTTGACAGAAGAGTGACAAAAATGGGAAAGAACCCTTAGACTCATTGAAAAAAGAATGAAATCAATTATCAAACATATACTTTGAGAAACTTTTACAGCGAATGCCCAAATTTTGTGCTGCAGTAATCAAGTCTAAAGGAAAATATTTTGAAGAGAACAAACTTTAATAAAATGATTTTTTTTCATAAAAATGTCTAATAAAAAACATGCCTCAGTTTTTTAAAACCATGTATAATGTTTTTAAAAAACGAAACAAATACTTTTTGAGCCAGTTTAAAAGTTATCGAGTATTTCCTCAAACTTTTAAACTGTAGTGTATATATATATATATATATATATATATATATATATATATATATATATATATTTCACCCCAAACAATGCAATAATGCCTCTAAAAGATGCAAGGGGTTAGAGAATGTAAAAAGAATATAAGAAAAGAAGAAACATTATTCAGGAGAGAACAACAAAAGAGCAAGAAGATAACAATTGACGTTACAAATTAAATTTTTGAAAATCAAACTTGAATGGAAAGCAAGAAGCCAAAAGAGAGTTCCACAAATTAGAAGAATGAATGAAGAAACTGTTAAAATAGAACTTACGGTTACATCAAGCCTAGGTTCCCTAGAAGAAAAAATATTTATTTTTGTTGCAAGGCCAAAATCGGGAATGTGGGAAGGCTGGTTTTCAATCTGGCTTACCTTAAACTTGTCTAACCACAAACACTGGACCAAACGAACTACAATATTCTTTGCACCAAAAACAAAAAAAAAATAAATAAAATAAAATAAAATAAAATAAAATAAAAATAAACATTCTTACTTACCATTCTTACTGAAGCCACTACAATACCCCAAAGACTCAGTGAAGGCCTCATGTTTTCAATGTCTGGCGTGTTGTGGGGGGTGGGGAGGATTGATAAAAAAAACAACTTAAAAATAAAAAAAAGAGGTAAACTTTAACAGAACAATTTCCATGAAAAGGTACAGGGAAACTACATTAGAGCGATCCGAATATATATATATATATATATATATATATATATATAAAGTGAACATTGAAAAAGGCGACAGCTGTTTCATGCTAGACGCAATCGTCAGGCCACCCTGATGATTGCGTCTAGCATGAAACAGACTGTCGCTCTAAAAGTTGATTTCAATGTTCACTTTTATATTTACACACACCCTATCTCTTATATTGAGCACTTTATTCCATAAATATAGCACACCTTAAGAGTATATTTCTTCATATATATGTATATCTATCTATCTATCTACATATATATATATATATATATATATATATATATATATATATATATATATATATATATATATATATATATATATATGCATTAACATTGCCTGATGATTGCACAAAGCATGAATCTCGGAATAGTGATGATTTTTGCTAATATATTGTATTGATTAATCTTCTGTCAATTAGCATTGAGGTTTTAATCCTTTTAGCTTATTAATGTATTCTTTATATATATATATATATATATATATATATAAAGAATACATTAATAAGCTAAAAGATAAAACCTTATATATATATATATATATATATATATATATATATATATATATATATATATAGCTGATTTGTTCGTGTGTATTTAAAAGGTTGTCCCAAGATTGGTCTCCCTTATGTAGAGGCTGGCTGTTAGATTTCTAGATGTCGCGCCAATGTAATCATTTCTACATTGAAATCATTTTATTTCATAAATCCCGATGTAGTGTTGGATCGATTTTTCTTCTTAACTATATCTCAGATTGTCTTGTAGGTGACGATAAATAAACTTGTGTTTGCAATAAGAAATGTATATTTAAATTTTCTAGATAGAGACTTAGATGATAAGATTACGAATTTTGTGCTAAGAACTAAATCATATAATGTGAAAGACGTAGTCTTTGACTGTCGGAAGAACTTACTATCCCATTAAATATAGATAACCCGGATTTAGTGAATAAAAGAAAGGAATTGATGGTCATATGTAGATAGATAAATATCTGTTGAAAAAATATTGGACCGGATAAAATAAATATCTATTGAAATGTATTTAATCGGATAGAATTAATATCTAATGGAAACTCTTGATCAGGATAAAATAAATATCTGTTGAAAAATATTGAGGCTCGGATGTGCGGTTGATTTAACAGAAAAGTGAGTCATGACATTTTATTATAGCAGAGAGTGTTCTATGTTGGTGACTATTGCCGTCTGGTCTAGTCACGCTGGTGTGATTTTTTTTAACTTGTTGTGTCGAAAGACAACCGATCTACGCCACACTAAAATGTGAAACATAGACTTTTCTATTCACTATGAGAGCAACGTCAGCTCATTGGACCAAAGTAGTCGCAAAGTGTTGCATGCATTATCACACTAACTACATTAATCACTATTATTGTATTATTAATCCATATGACGAAACAGTTTCTTCACTAATCTCTTGTTCCGATGTTTTCCGTGGAATATTATTAAGCAGAACTACGAGTTTATACGAGAATTATATTACTTATAAAATAAGCGTGCAGGTTCAAATAAACAATACGCTAGATCTAATTTGATTCCCAGAACAAAATACTCATGCTACGCAAAGAATAACAATATGAGGGAAATTGAAGAAATTCTTTTAATCATTCCGGCACGCATATTTGGAATATAAAAGTAGTGAAGATATTTATAAATAAATGAATAAATAAATAATTATCAATAATAATTATAATATTAGTAGTTGTTAATGATGTTATTCGTGTTCCACATATTAAACATATTTTTTTATACAAAAAAATAGAAAATAATGATGCTAAAGTGCGTGTCTACCGGCTTCAATCAATCACAAGAAAGCTGTTGTACCAAATATAACACGATTCAGATTTTTGTTTTTTTGGAGAAAAATTTAACGAAAGTAAATGGGGAACGCTGAGAGAGATTCGATGAAACCCGAGAAAAAATACAATTTTGTAGGATTTCGAATCCTGTTCATCCATCGTACGAAATAAAAAAAAAAAAATGACAAATAATTTTTTAGATGTTTAGTCAAACTTAGAGGCTGCGGCTGATAAAAATTTTCTTACCAACTTTCGTCGATTGTACTGGCAATCATTAATAGTCAATCATAGATTTGTGTCACATTGTGTAAAACTCTCAGCTGAGTCTTGATCCAATGATAAGGATCCATAAAGATAATTGCAGACTGCACGTGCTGTATTCGATTCCAGTAGAGTCTGGTGGTAAGACACCGGCCGGGGGGGGGGTATTTAAGGCCTAGAACATGCCACGATAACATGCCTTTGTTTACAATGACAAAAATTCCAAAAACGGAACGTATCTAAATACTTGCCATGCTTGAAGATCAAATTACGATGAAGGTAGGGATTCTAATACAATCAAGTTAAACAGCGTCGATATATATATATATATATATATATATATATATATATATAGAGAGAGAGAGAGAGAGAGAGGTGGAGGGAAAGATATTAGTCAAGAAACCTAGCATGGGACGAGAGAAAGGAAGAAGATGATTTTCGGTTTTTAAAAAAGTGATGGTGAAAACTGAACATTAGAATTCCAACACGGTTTAACTATCTTTACTATCTTTAGGCAGCTGGGTATTTTGACGTTCTGCTGTGACACCGAGTGCAAAGCATGCGTATTGGGGTCACCTCGGATCAACACTTTTTAAAATTAAAACTACCTCTTGTATTTCTTGAGGTTAAATATAGTCTCTACCTGGATATACATAGATATGAACAGAATATATATATATATATATATATATATATATATATATATATATATATATATATATATGATTTTGCATATACTTTAGAACTACCTTAAAGGGGCCTCTAGTATGATTAAATCATTATTATATATTTATTTATTTTTTATCTAAAATACAATACTTATCATATTCAATGGTTCAATTAGACATGCCAATGTTAAAATTAAAAGTCAAGGAATTAAGAAAATGTACGATTATATGTAATCAAATAATAGACATATAATTATAATATATAGATTTTTAAATTTTTTTATGAAAAATACTATTAACTTTTTTTTTAATGTAAACACGGTGCAATGTCTACAAAATACAGATATTTCATTTCGTTGATTTAATAAATCATTATTTTTTGGAAACTTAATTATATATAACTTCATGTAGACATAGAGGACATGGGTCATTTAATGACCTACAGATTGTCGTTCTTTTTTTAATAATTTACATTTTACTGTGGGGGTTTATTGATTTCTTTTAAATATATTTATTAATTTCTTTTAAATACCAAAAATATTTAGAGAGTGATAATATTAATAATAATAATATTAATATTACTGAAACAACCGCTACTATCTGCAAAACCCAAACCTCGAAATCACCAGGAATAAACCGAATAGCCAATTTTTGAATAAAAATTCTATCTAGACCTCGCACAGTCCTACAATGATATAATCATAAACCCAGAAAAATGTCCCAAATGGCTCACGTGGGGAGTAACATACCTACTTCCAAAATCAGATGAGACGCAGAACCCGAAGAACTATAGGCCCATCACCTGCCTACCAATAATGTACAGGATCCTCATTTCTATCATAACCAAGAGGACATACAACTTCCTTCAGAAAAACAATTTAATCCCAACAGAACAGAAGGGATATAAAAGAAAGAAGGTGCAAAACCCAACTAATCATACTTATTATAAAACTCAGGGTTGTGTGTGTGTTTCATTTATATATTGGATCGGATTTGGCATTTTCAACTGATTTCAACAAAACTTCACAGGACTACGTAAAATTACCTTGCGGTGGTTCTGATAGCGCCCAAAATTGGAAAAACACAATTGTTTTTGCACGAAATCAATTTCAAAAACACGATTAAGAGGCATCACGAGAATGAAGGTGCACAACTCATCGAGTTATACTTATTATAAAACCCAAGGTTGTTTGTGTGTGTTCCGTTTATATATGGGATCGTATTTCCCTACATTTTCAACCGATTTCAACAAAACTTCACTTTTTTTTTGGCAGGTGGTGTTTCTTATTGTCTTTTTTTCTTTTATTTTACATTCAGAATGCTTTAAAAATTCCATTTGTAAAGACAATTGTTTATAATAAAATTCTATTCAATCGGTAAACTCATAATGATTGAAAACAATGTTTTTGTTTGAGTTTGGGTTTGACCAATTCGTTAAAAAAAATCCCCAAAAACAAACAAAAACAAAACAAAACAAACTAATTAAGACATGCGTGTCTGTCAACTTTAAATAATAATCTTTGTCAATTTTATTTTTCAGTCTTGATCTATCTCTTACTGTTACATCCCTGGGTAACGCCGCGCTATACTGCTAGTTCTTAATAAAACAATATTGGAAGAGATGGAAACAAAGAAAATATACATATCGGTAGCAAGGATCGACTACAGAAAGGCGTTCGACAGTGTACCACATTCATGGATAAAGAAAAGCCTAAAAATATACAGAATGTGCTGCAAAACAGTCAAATTCATAACGAAAAGCATGAAAAAGATGGAAGACTGCACTAAACCTAAACCATTCAAACGGGTCATCAACATCGAGACCAATCAACATCAAAAGCAGGATCTTCCAAGGAAATTCATTGTCACCACTACTCTTCTGCCTACTGGACAACAGTAGCTACGGATACAATTGACAGAATGGCAAACTGATTCACCTATTCTATATTGATGACCTTAAAACATTTGCAAAGATGACAACCAACAGAAAAACCTACTCGCCATTTTTAAACCTTTAGCAAAGATATTGGGATGGAGTTTGAAATCGACAAATGTACCAAAGCCACCTTCAAAGGCGGTAAACTAACGAAAGCTACAGATTTAGACCTTGATATCAACAACAAGACTAAGGAACTCAACCAAGATGGTACATACAAATAATTAGGAATTAATGGAGACGGAATACACATTCATTTATGAAGAAAAAGATCCGAACAAAATAT